TCTAGGGCCATCAATCACTGATAACACTAAACTGATGAGCGGTAAAAGCTTTTAAAGCGTCGCCTATGGCCAATTTTGGGTATGCTAGTTTTTTGCAATTTTGCGAGTGCGCGCAAATTTTACGCTTGACATGTTTGGTGTCTATTTACCCGACGTGACCCCATCTTTTATATTTTACCAAAAAAGTGGGTAATATTAGTTGTTTTATAGCATAATTCTCAAAATTTTCAGTAATTTCTCTGGAATATAGTAAAAAATAAAACCCGCAGTGGTGATTAAATACCACCAAAAGAAAGCTCTATCTGTCCCCAAAAAATGGTATAAAATTCATTTCAGTACAGCGTTGCATGACGGAATAAACTTCAGTCAAAGTACCGCAGCGCTGAATACTGAAAAATGGCCTGGCCAGGAAGGGGGTCTAAACACCTGGTCTTGAAGTGGTTAAAATGAATTAAAATAAAAAACAAAGCACAAAAAAAGCCACCACACACCGGAGTCAAGAACAGGCATACTGTATGGCCTCTTAGCTGGCACAAGCATCCGCACTGCCACCATTGCTGATTACAGAATGTGAAATCATTCATACACACACACCATGCGTTTTACTGCATGTTAATGTGTGTTGTGTTAGGGCAGCCCATTTATTTGGCGAAATGTAGTACACCACAACACATAGTACTGCAGGTGCATTGGGGGTACCATTTAAATTGAATGGCACTGCAACACTGAGCATAACTATGTGATGTGAAGAGCCCTATATTTCAGTTATCACCATGACTGGTGTCCCCTTTGGAAGATCTTTCCTCACCTCTTATTCTGGTGACTACCTTTTGGATTTCCCATTGCTTTCTATCTTGGTGAGAATAGTCATCAGGACAAATACAGAGGGTGATACTGCCTAGCGGGTACACAGACACCAATATAAACTGGTGTTCTATTCCTTCTCTACTCCCAAAAACATAGGCTTAGCTGGAGATATGCTTCAATTCATCAAGAGCTCACTAGGAAGCACTGCTGTTCTGTGTGCTTTCTCTGACAATATAATGGCAGTGTTGGCTACACCACCATTACATGTATTTGTAGGTCCAACCCATATTGCTTCGAATCTCTTTATTTATAGGTTATTTGTTGCTCTTGCAGTGACCTTTTTCTGTGTTTTTGCTCTCAGGCTATTTTTAGCACTGTGAGCATGTTGTCAGTCACTTTTCTCTTTTTTGTCCTCAGCCTGCAGTTCCAAACCATCACCAGATCCCAGTGTCCAGCCCAATAAAATGGATGCTGCACGAAACAAGCCCCGGATACCCCCACATATGCCAAAGCTCTTCATTCCCTCTTCCAGTGTCAACAAATTCCCACCAGAGATCACAGTCACACCCCCAACACCAACCCTTCTCTCTCCCAAGGGTAGCATCTCTGAGGAAACCAAACAGAAGCTAAAGGTAAACAGCACTGACTAGGAATAAATGAAAAGGGGTAATACGGAATCAAATTGGGGGGTTTTCTTACAGTATGTGGGAGGGGATGCAGGTGTTGACACAGCAGTAATGTACTACTAGGAGGACCCTGTATCAAAATGTCTAGTCAGAAGTGGGTAGCTCCAGGCGGTTACCTTAGTCTGTTTTTGCAGGATACCTAATGGTAAATATGGTGACATGTCTGCTCCCATTTAATAATCCAGACGTTCATAGGCTGTCCCCTTTTTTTTAAACCTCTCATGTATATTTTGGGCATTCCTAGAGGTAACCACTGCACGCTATTTGTAAGGTATATGCCCAGGTGCTCATTCACAAACATATTCATACAAATTCAAAGTAGATATAGTGGCACTCGTAGGTCTTGCAGCGGAGAGAAGTCAAAGCATCAGCGTTTTATTGTCAACGTTATAATGGAGCTCAGTGCAGCTTTCTCAAGACATCTTGAGAAAGAAGGACTGAGCTTCATCGAAATGTTGCCAATAAAATGCTGATGCTTTGACTTCTCTCCGCTGCAAGACCTACGGGTGCCTCTATATCTACTTTGGATGTACAGTATATATTATGTATAGATTATTTATGGCACTTTTATAAATACTTACCCAACTTCCTCTCTAACTTTCTACAGTCTGTCATCCTGTCCTCTCAATCTGCTGCCAATGTGAAGAAGGAGACTTTGTGCCAACCAGCTCTAGAGATCCTGGACACTTCCAGTCAGGAGTCATCCCTTGAGAGCGACACCGATGAGGATGATGACTACATGGACATCTAAGGACTTCACAGTGTTCACTTCTCACCAACTGCCAAATGAAAATCCTGCCTATGACTCCCACCAGATTGTGCTTGCATGCTACAGCTCTTGGCATGTGAATTGCTTTGCGTCTGCCAGCAGCCAAATCGCCATATTATAGTGTGCCAGCGCTATGTGCAGGTCCTCCTGGCCGGCCTGGGAGAAGGGTCAGGGCATAAAGAACTTGCAGGAGTCTCTCTGGCTTTGCACAGGGCTCTTTGCCTATTTCAGGCCTGGAAGACCACACAGTAGATATTCCTGAACTGTTGCGGACTTGAACTTCATTTCTGACGAATAATATCATTCATAATGTTGTGTCAGATCGTTCTGCAGCTCCAATCTTGGTGCTGATCTGAGAACTTTTGACTCGGTGGAGTTGCTGAAAATCACAGGCTATGTCACCTCCTTTTGAGGTCCATTTTTATAAGACAGAATGTGATGTTTGTATTATAAACACAAAGGTGTAGATGAAAAGAAAATTGCGATAATGACAGAATTCCAAGAACTGATATATGTTGCACAGTTTTTTGTAAAAAAAGAAATAAAACAATTATATCATTTTCATTGACTCTTCTGAGAGGTATCTCTACTTGTAATTAGGTCAGCTTTCCCCAATAAAGAGAGAGGTTGAGGTCACGGAAATGTCCACTACATGGAGCAGTTGCCTGAGGTTGTGTAAATTGATGGAATTGGACACTGGCAAACAAAAGCTGTAGACCAGCCCAGGATAACCTCTTCTTCTACTAGGATGATGGACTTTTTTGCTGGCACCTTTTTTTTCTTGCCTAAGGTACTTTTTGCCTTTCACCTCAACAATCACATGGTTCTTCCCTCCGTCTGTCTGGCTCCAGTTCACAAAAAGGAAATGTTTCTCTATTGTCTGGATGTGTTTTGGGCTGTGAGAGTCTATCTCTCAGCCACTGCTTCTTTCAGGAGTACTGATTCCATTTATGTCATCCTGGATGGTGCCTGTAAGGGTCCACTGCCTTCTCATTCCACCATATTTAGTTGGCTCGGGTAGACCATAATTCAAGCTTCCTGGCAAGGTGCACACTACTAGAGCAGGCAGTTGTTTCTCAGACTTGCAAGGTTGCTACCTGATCTTCTACTCCCACATTCTACCAGGTGGATGTTTTAGAATCATCTGATGCCAGCTTCAGTTGTAAGGTCTTTAACCACTTCAAGACCAGGTGTTTAGACCCCCTTCCTGGCCAGGCCATTTTTCAGTATTCAGCGCTGCGATACTTTGACTGACGTTTATTCAGTCATGCAACGCTGTACTGAAATTAATTTTATACCATTTTTTTGGGACAGATAGAGCTTTCTTTTGGGGGTATTTATTCACCACTACGGGTTTTATTTTTTATTATAATTAGGAAAAATTATTGAAAATTTTGAAAAAAAAACGTTTTTTGTAACATTATGTTAGGAAACATTTATTATTACCCAGTTTTTTGGTCAAATATAAAAGATCAGGTCACATCGGTTAAATAGACACCAAACATGTCAAGCTTTAAAATTGAAAACGACGGCAACCAAAATTGGCCATAGGCGACACTTTAAACGTTTTTACCACTCATCAGTTTAGTGTTATCAGTGCTTGATTGACCTAAACTTATTGCTCTCACTGCGACGTTCGCGGCGATATGTAACATGTGCGGCGTAATGGGCGCAATCGTCTTTTTTGCACGTATGCGCCCCCGAGTATGTATGGGTGGGGACTTTTAAAAAAAACTAGCTCGGGGGCGTGTCTGAGCGGACGTCTAGAGACGCCCGCTCAGATCGAGAGAGCTCCTGGCTGGCCGTTTTTTTACTACGGCCGGCCCGGAGGTAGTTAAGGCAGTCCCCAGGTTTTCCTTTAGTTTTTTTTTCTTGGGTCTGTTGGCATTTGTTTGCTGTGTTGTCCACCCCTCATTTGGACTGCTTCCCAATGTCCCAAATATTAGGCTTCCTGTGTCCCTCAAATGGACAAGAAAGAAAATAGGATTTTTGTTCTTGCCATACAATCTTTTTTTAGGATTCCATTGAGGTACACAGGTCCCACTCCTCTGTCCCACTCCTCCTCCTGACTATGCTCTTGGTACTGCTTTTCTTACAAAGCTGAGGCATGCTGGTAGTAGGAGGGATTATCCTGGGCTGACCTACAGTTTTTTTGTTTGCCAATGTCCAATTGTCCTGTAAGCAGCAGTATAACCTAAAGATTTCCTGTGTCTCTCAGTGACCTCCATTGCAGGGGGGCGGAACCGGCGAGAAATTCGAAAAGTGACAGTCACGGCTCCCTGCAGGGACAGGATTGAGAAGTGAGCGAGCGACGGTATGTGTTCGCTCACTTCCCGATCTATTGAGCCGACGTGTGACAGTTTCATTGTCACAGGTAGGCTCGAACTATGAGGATGTGTGAAAATCACTCGCCTCATAGTTCTCCTTCAACCTTCCTGGCGGGAACCCCGAGTGTGGCTCGGGGGTACATTTTCCGTACCAAAAGTGGTAGCCCCGAGCCACACTTGGGTGTCTTCCCGGTTCCTTCCCTGCGAGCGCTGGCATTGCGGGGGGGGGCGGAACCGGCGAGAAATTCAAAAGTAAAAAATAGAGAAAGAAAAAAATACTGAGATAGTCATACCGCCAGGGAGGTTAAGCAATGTTCAAAGATTCCCACTGGCACACAGGAGCAGGAAATGAAGCTTAAAAATGCCCACCGGCCCTCAAGTGGGAGGCGTCCAGCAGTTTAATTACAATGGCAGGATGGCAAGCAGTTAGAGACCAGGTCCCTAGACCATTATTTCAAAACATCTGATAAGATTATATGTACATTTAATGTATTGTATGCACGTTATCTACCTGGAAAAGCCTAACTTGTGCAGACATCTAAAAGTCCTGCGATTGCTGTTGGGTGCTGCCATCTTGGATGTGACTCAGAGTTGTCTAGACTCAGACTCAGAGTTGTCACTTAAGTATTCTAGTATTCTCCTACACCCTTTCCCCAGCAGCCACATAAAAGGTTATTTAGGGAGGTGAGAAGGAGCGTAGGGGCTGGGTGAGCACACAGAGTACTCCCAGATAAGGAGGGGGCTATGACATGCAAGGAAGGAGAGGGATGTACTAGGGAAGTGACTCTCCTGGAATAGTCAAAGGCACATTACAACTGAATAAAATATCATTTCAAGAAAGGAACAAGTTAAAAGAATGTCAAATGTTTCTATGCTTGTAACTGCAATTTGGAAGTTGGTTACATTTCACTTCTTCAAGTCCCTAGAACAGGCCATGGTTTCAGGATATCTGTAAACATAAGTGAATCTGTGTCACTGGCTCACCAACTACCACAGCTGTTTCCACTGACCGCAATCCTGCAAACATAGTCTGTAGGGGGCACTTGAGGAATGGAGTAGAGAAAGGCCATAGTTGTGCCAGTTGCAAATGATTTATTAAAGGTATTTATATAGCACTTCACAATTTCACAGAGATTGACATATTATACAATCAGTCCCTGCCTTTAAGAAGCTCACAACATAAGCTCCCTATCGCACATGCATACATACACATACTAGGAATTTAGTTTAGACAGGAGCCAATTAACCTACCAAAATGTCTTTGGAGTGTGAGAGGAAACCGGAGTACCCGGAGGAAACCCACGCAAGCACATACTAACTCCATGCAGATAGTGTGCAGGCTGGGATTTAAACCTAGGTTCCCAGCCACTGTGTTTCTTAACCGTCACTGTGCAAATCCATCCTTTTCAATAGGGCAAGAACCAGGGTGATAAGATGTAGTTAAAGTAAGTCCTGCATGCTGCAAGTCGGCACTCACTACACATTAACATACTGCATGCATAAAGATTTAGTGTGACCTTTATTAGGTTCATCTGTCTAGTACCCATAAAGAACGGCACGGGGGGCGATGCACATGGTCAACAACAATACACTGACATTCAAGGGATGCTCAGTTGCATCATCAACAATCTGAACTATTGACACAACACCTAAAGTCTGAAATGTATCGATAAATATTCATGTGTATTATATAGTAGTAATGGAATATACTGGGAGATGAGGCGTACAATATGAAGTGCCACACCTAACAACTGAGGGCCCATGTATTCTGAGAGGAAGATGTTTATGAAGTGCAAATGGGAAGATGTGAGAGACGTTCATTAAAAAAAGTGAAAATTGGGATATTGTATCATTCTAACACCCTGTTTAATGTAACGCGTACATACGAGGTACATATAAAGCCAGAATTGTCCAAATCAGAACACATCCATCGTACAAAAAGCTACACAAGATTAATTGTCACACATTTCCCCCCAGGGTAGGCTAGCAGCTGCAAGCCGTTACAATGACTGCATTATATACAATGGTACTACACTGTATAAAACACACACACACATATATATATATACACATACACACTATATTGCCAAAAGTATTGGGACGCCTGCCTTTACACGCACATGAACTGTAATGGCATCTCAGTCTTAGTCCGTAGGCTTCAGTATTGAGTTGGCCCACCCTTTGCCGCTATAACAGCTTCAACTCTTCCGGGAAGGCGTCCACAAGCTTTAGGAGTGTGTCTATGGGAATGTTTGACCATTCTTCCAGAAGCGCATTTGTGAGGTCAGGTACTGATGTTGGAGGAGAAGGCCTGGCTCGCAGTCTCCGCTCTAATTCATCACAAAGGTGTTCTATCGGGTTGTGGTCAGGACTCTGTGCAGGCCAGTCAAGTTCCTCCACCCCAAACTCGCTCTTTCATGTCTTTATGGACCTTGCTTTGTGCTCTGGTGCCACCCCCAAACTGTTCCCACAAAGTTGGGAGCATGAAATTGTCCAAAATGTCTTGGTGTGCTTATGCCTTAAGAGTTCCCTTCACTGGAACTAAGGGGCCAAGCTCAACCCCGGAAAAACAACCCCACACCATAATCCCCCTCCACCAAACTTTACACTTGGCAAAATGCAGTCAGACAAGTACCGTTCTGGCAACCGCCAACCCAGACATGTCCATGGGATTGCCAGTCAATAAAGCGTGATTCGTCACTCCAGAGAACATGTCTCCACTTCTCTAGAGTCCAGTGGTGGCGTGCTTTACACCACGGCATCCGATGCTTTGCATTGCACTCGGTGATGTAAGGCTTGGATGCAGCTGCTCGGCCATGGAAACCCATTCCATGAAGCTCTCTACACACTGTTGTTGTGCCAATCTGAAGGCCACACGAAGTTTGGAGGTCTGTAGCTATTGACTCTGCAGACAGTTGGCGACTTCTGTGCGCTTCAGCATGCGCCGACCCCGGTCTGTCATTTTACGTGGCCTACCACTTCATGGCTGAGTTGCTGTTGTTCCCAGTTGCTTCCACTTAGTTATAATACCACTAACAGGTGACCGTGGAATATTTAGTAGCAAGGAAATGTCACGGAACGCCTGAATCCAATGATTTGGAGGGGGAGTGTCCCAATACTTTTGGTAATATAGTGTGTATATATATCTTGTTTTACATGTTGTACCAGAAGTCTCACCGGGATGTGGTATCTGGAAGAAAAAGGAAGCAGTGCCTG